GCTTTCGGCAGTTCTTATGAAACTTTGGTGAATTGTTTATATCTATTGATGTAAGCTCCGTTTAGAATTTTATAAATTTTACATTTTACATTTCTGAGTTATGGGGTTTTATTCATTAAAAAAGGGGGGATTTTCCAGTTTTTGGACAATAACTCAAAAATGCTGTCAGAAATTCTCATGAAACTTTTGTGAATTATTTATATCTATTGATGTAAGCTCCCTTTACATTTTCATAAATTTTTAATATGACATTGAGAATTAATTGAACTTTAATTGTTTATAGTCTGACAACATATTTACTTAGTATTGCGCAACAACACAGTGTATTGCACAACAGCAAGAAATCTTTAATTGAATATAAATTCAATTCATATAACCAATTTCAAGTTCTTTGACTACATTTATTCAGAAACCTATAATATGTTAAATATTTAATACAATCCAAATTCAGACCTGTATCAAGCTTGAATATTGTGTCCATTTTTGTCCCAACTGTTCAGGGTTGGACCTTTGCAGGCGTATCCAGCTGCGCTCAGCGAAGCAGTTTATTTATTTTAGTACCAGTTTTCAAATAAGTCCATATTAAGGTCCAAAGGGTCCAAAATTAAACCTAGCTATATTCTAACAAAAAATGAATTCTTGTGGTTCTTTGATATGTTGAATCGAAACTTATATAATGATTTTTGATTTTGGGCCTAGTTTTTCTAGTTGGTCCAAATCAGGGTCCAAAACTTTATATAGATTTAAGAAGATGAGGTATGAGTGCCAATGAGACAACTCTCCATCCAAGTCAAAATTTATAAAAGTCAACCATTATAGGTCAAAGTAGGTCTTCAACACGGAGCCTTGGCTCACACTGAACAGCAAGCTATAAAGGGCCCCCAAAATTACTAGTATGAAACCATTCAAACGGGAAAACCAACGGTCTTATCTATATAAAAAACGAGAAATGAGAAACACTTATGAACCACATCAACAAACGACAACTACTGAACATCAGATTCCTGACTTAGGGTTTAAACGTTTTAATGGTACCAAACCTTCACCCTTATCTGAAACAATAGTGTAACATCACACATAGAGAACACACTATAAAATATCAATTGAAATGGCTTAACTCAATCAAAAGACATATTAACAACAGTTGAACATACACTGAACAAATATATTTGATCTATGATACAATGCAAATACAAAATAAATAAACTAAGGGAAGAATCATTAATGTAACATGTTATACCGCTGTGAAATGTTAAACAATTTAAGAAAAACAATATACTTGAACAAAAATATCAGCCATTTGCAATTTCTTTAAACAGGTAAATAAAATTAATTTTGTTGTTAGGTATATGTGTACAGTTCAAATAGAGAAAGGAAATATTTTTACAAAATAAATAATTTTGATGTTCACAGAACGAAGAAGTGAAAATTTTATAGTAATACCAAACACTTATCAAAGTTGGTATATAGACCAGATATAACCCTGAATAACATTAAATAACAAAAAAGCATTACAATTAGTATCAACAGGTCAAATAAACAAGAAAGTACGATTTGAGAGTACTCGCAGTTACTGACAGCTAGTTAAAAGCCAAAAACAATTAATAATAAAAAATCATGCATCAGAGACTAAAATTGTTTGATTTCATCAAAAATTGAATTCTTGGGGTTCTTTGATATGCTAAATCTACCCATGTATTTTGATTTTCAATTCTGGGGCCCCATTGTCAAATTGGTCAACATTGAGGTCTAAAATGTCCACAATTAAACTTTGTTTGTTTTCACCAAAAATTGAATTAGTTGGGTTCTATGATATGCCAAATCTAACATAGTATTAAGATTTTTAATTTTGGACCCTATTTTTAAAATGTTTCACATTAAGGTCCAACGGGTCAAAAATTTCATAAAATGTTAAATTCGTGTGGCTCTTTTTAAAATATGCTGAATCTAAGCATGAATTTATATTTTTGATTTTGAGCCTGGTTTTCAAATTGGTCTAAATACAGGTCCAAAGGGTCCAAAATTAAACTTAATTATAAATTTTAACAAAAATTGAAATCTTGTGGTTCTATGACATGTTTGATATGCTGAATAAAAAAGTGTATTTAGATTTTTCTATTTTGGGCCCAGTTTTCTAGTTATTCCAAATCGGGGTCCAAAATTAAACTTTGCTCACACCAAACAGCAAGCTATAAAGGGCTGTATTTAGATTTTGGATATTGGACTGTTAAAGGTAAATGTTCAATTTCAAATTTTTAAGTTCTTATTAGACCATATTCATTCTGTGTCAGAAACCTATGTTGTGTCAAATATTTAATCAATCCAAATTCAGAGCTGTATCTTGAAAGCTTATATGTTGGGTCCATGCTTGCCGCAACTGTGCAGGGTTGGACATCTGGGGTCATATCAAGCTGCGCCCTGCTGAGCTGTTTATATTATTTTGATATATCCAGAACCACACATATATTTTTTTTTAGCCTAATAGGTCAACTATATTTGGTGTATTGATGTTCGTTTCTTAGATGCTATCAGAATTAGGTCAAATTTATTTGATGTCTGAAATTGATGATTGTAAGGTTTACATGGTTGTCGGTCATTGTTCATATGACCTTGACTTCATTATACACCACACAACAAAGTTGCCTAGTGTATAATGTCTTTGACCCGTCTGTCCATCCGTCAGTTCTTCAGTCAAGTTCTTGTCATCACAACTGCTCTGAACCACACAATATAATTTCATGAAACTTTGTAGATAATAAGAACATACTATGTAGATGTGCATATTGACAGGAAATTATGATTCAATTTTTTTTGGAGGAGTTATGTTCCTTTGAACTTGGAACTTTGGCTTTACTGCTGCAACAGTTTGTTGTCACAACTCCTATGAAACCACACAGCAGAATTTCATGAAAATTTGTAGTAAATGAGGACACACTATGTAGATGTGCATATCCACAGGAATTATGATTAAATTTTTTTTCTAGGAGTTATACCCCTATGAACTTATAATTTTGGCCTATACTGATGTAACAGTTTGTCATCACGACTCCTTTGAAACCGTACAACAGAATTTCATGAAACTTATAGTAAATGATGACATAATATGTAGATGTGCATATTCACAAGAAATTTTTATCATTTGACTTTTTAAGAGTTTGAGTCTTTAAAATTAGGAATCTGATGAGATTTTGCCCAGTGACAATGTAGGGGCATGGAGTATGTGCTCACAAAGGTTTTTGATTTTCTTAAATCATTGATGATGTTTAGTTAATGTGATACCGGTAGTAAGATGGTAAGACTGTTATCTTTTAAGATCTTCAATTTACAATTCAATCTTGATCAAATTAAGCAGAATAGATATAATATTGCTCCCATCACTTAATGCATTATGAATTTACCATCATCTGAGGCATTCAAAGTCACAAGTTAGTAAATACAAAGTTGAATGAAAAGTTACATGAAGCATTAATACTTTATTGTTTTTTAAAATTATTTTTGGCAATAATTTACTCCTTGATGTTTCAGTGCTAATTAGTAAGTTGTTGGATGAGTGGCAGGAGAATGCTGATAACTTTGTTGAAACCAGAGCTGCGAAATGTGTGTTGAAAGGTATCAAGGAAAACAGTTGTCTCACTATTACAGCTAGTTCTGGTGTTGGAAAGACATCCATTTTACATCATGTGGCATTAAAAATGAAAGGCGAAGGGTTTGATATACTACCAGTTACTAATCCAAATGATATTATTCAGTTTTATAATCCAAATCAGAAAACACTGTTTGTTATTGATGACATTTGTGGGACTTATTCCATAAACCAGTCTGACCTTGACAGTTGGGAATCAGTTATGGAACAAATAAAGATGTTGATTGAAAACAAATTTACAAAAATTATTGTCGCGTGTCGATTACAAGTGTACCAGGATGAAAAGTTTGAATCTTTATCAATTTTCAGGACATCTGTATGTAACATCCAGTCAGAAGATTTATGTTTAATACAGAAAGAAAAAACTTCAATAGCAGAATTATATCTGGAAACAAAGGCAACAGAGATTATTCAGTACTGCAATTTATATGATTGCTTTCCACTGCTCTGTAAATTGTACAGTGATAATCCTGAGCTCAATATAACAGATTTCTTCAAGAATCCATTTTCCGTATACAAAACTGAAATTGACAAGCTTAATAAAAAAGGTCATAATACAAAATACTGTGCACTGGCTTTGTGTGTTATGTTTAACAACAACTTGAAGGAGGAAATGTTTTCAGAAGAAATAGATGTAGAAACAAGAAAGATCATTGAGAAAACCTGTGAGGCGTGCAGACTGGTCAGAGGAACTTCACGAATTGTCCTACTTGATGAACTTAATTCACTTGAACATACATTTATTAAGAAAGAACAAGGTGTATTCAAAACAAAACATGATAAATTATTTGACTTTCTTGCATACTATTTTGGACAAAATATGATCCAGTGTTTGATCAGAAATGCACATCCTGTTGTTATTATGCAGAGATTTTTACTAGAAAGAAAAGATGACATGGACCAGTTTATTACTATTGTACCAACTAAATACCATCATATGTACATGAAGAGAATGATTGATGACTGGTCAATTGGTAGAGTACATTATGTGTTCAAGAATATCAACTTTATGATACAAGAGTTCAGACACAAATTCCTATGTTATCTCAAAAAATTTGAAATATTACTTCAGAGGCGATTAGCACTGAAAATAGATATAAATAGTAAAGGTACTGCACTGATACTATGTTGTTACTATGGGGATATTCCTTTTATTCATTGGTGTATTAACCATGGTGTTTGTGTTAACCTGTGTAGCTGTAGAGGTGTGAGTCCTTTACATGTAGCTGCAATTAAAGGTCATAAAGAAACAGTAAAGGTATTACTGGACAACAAAGCAAACATTAATAAGTGTGCAGATAATGGAGTATCTCCTTTGCATAGTGCTTGTCATAATAATCATATAGAGATAGTAAAGGTATTACTGGACAACAAGGCAGACATTGATAAGTGTTTGGATGATGGAGTATCTCCTTTGTATATTGCTTGTCATAATAATCATATAGAGATAGTAAAGGTATTACTGGACAACAAGGCAGACATTGATAAATGTTCAGATAAAGGAGCATCTCCTTTGTTTGATGCTTGTCTGAATAATCATATAGAGATAGTAAAGGTATTACTGGACAACAAGGCAGACATTTATAAGTGTGCAGATAATGGAGTATCTCCTTTGCATAGTGCTTGTCATAATAATCATATAGAGATAGTAAAGGTATTACTGGACAACAAGGCAGACATTGATAAGTGTGCAGATAATGGAGTATCTCCTTTGCATAGTGCTTGTCATAATAATCATATAGAGATAGTAAAGGTATTACTGGACAACAAGGCAGACATTGATAAGTGTACAAATAATGGAGTATCTCCTTTGTATGTTACTTGTCAGAATAATCATATAGAGATAGTAAAGGTATTACTGGACAACAAGGCAGACATTGATAAGTGTAAAGATAATGGAGCATCTCCTTTGTATGTTGCTTGTCATAATAATCATATAGAGATAGTAAAGGTATTACTGGACAACAAGGCAGACATTGATAAGTGTATGGATGATGGAGTATCTCCTTTGTATATTGCTTGTCATAATAATCATATAGAGATAGTAAAGGTATTACTGGACAACAAGGCAGACATTGATAAGTGTATGGATGATGAAGTATCTCCTTTGTATATTGCTTGTCAGAATAATCATATAGAGATAGTAAAGGTATTACTGGACAACAAGGCAGACATTGATAAGTGTTTGGATGATGGAGTATCTCCTTTGTATATTGCTTGTCATAATAATCATATAGAGATAGTAAAGGTATTACTGGACAACAAGGCAGACATTGATAAGTGTATGGATGATGAAGTATCTCCTTTGCATAGTGCTTGTCATTATAATCATATAGAGATAGTAAAGGTATTACTGGACAACAAGGCAGATATTGATAAGTGTATGGATGATGGAGTATCTCCTTTGTATATTGCTTGTCAGAATAATCATATGGAGATAGTAAAGGTATTACTGGACAACAAGGCAGACATTGATAAGTGTATGGATGATGGAGTATTTCCTTTGTATGCTGCTTGTCTGAATAATCATATAGAGATAGTAAAGGTATTACTGGACAACAAGGCAGACATTGATAAGTGTGCAGATAAAGGAGCATCTCCTTTGTATGTTGCTTGTCAGAATAATCATATAGAGATAGTAAAGGTATTACTGGACAACAAGGCAGACATTGATAAGTGTACAGATAATGGAGTATCTCCTTTGTATGTTACTTGTCAGAATAATCATATAGAGATAGTAAAGGTATTACTGGACAACAAGGCAGACATTGATAAGTGTAAAGATAATGGAGCATCTCCTTTGTATGTTGCTTGTCATAATAATCATATAGAGATAGTTAAGGTATTATTGGACAACAAGGCAGACATTGATAAGTGTACGGATGATGGAGTATCTCCTTTGCATAGTGCATGTCATAATAATCATATAGACATAGTAAAGGTATTACTGGACAACAAGGCAGACATTGATAAGTGTACAGATAATGGAGTATCTCCTTTGTATGTTACTTGTCAGAATAATCATATAGAGATAGTAAAGGTATTACTGGACAACAAGGCAGACATTGATAAGTGTAAAGATAATGGAGCATCTCCTTTGTATGTTGCTTGTTGGATGAATCATATAGAGACAGTAAAACTATTACTGGACAACAAGGCAGACATTAATAAGTGTACAAATAACGGTATCTCACCCAAACAAATTGCCAGGGAAAACAGATACAATGGCATACTTGCTGTCATTAAAGAACATTCCAGAGAGGAGATTATATATCAAAGAAAATAAAAGGAATTTCAATTATGAATTGTGAATTGGCAAAGAAAGATTTCAGAAAGGAAATTTTGTTACAGATGAAATTGTAATGATTACTTGGTGTTTTTTTTATGTAGAATATTTATTTTAATTTGTTATTTTTTAGTCCCATCAGTTATATTAAACTAATGAATCTGATTTTTTGGGTTTTTTAATAAAGTGAAATTTACTAATGTATTTAATTTGAAAATATATTTGAAATGATGTAATTTTTGTACTGGGATTGATTTTGGGGGTAATTGCCTCAAAATTTTAGGAATAAGGGGCCAAAAAAGGGGCAAAAAACAAGCATTTTTCTAGTTTCATGACAATAACTTGTGTTTAAGTGTATGGATCTTTCTGAAATTGTACTACAAGGTTCCATATCACAAAGGGAAAGCTGGAATTGAGTTTGGGGGTAATTGCCCAAAACATTTAGGAATAAGGGGCCAAAAATAAGCATTTTTCTAGTTTCCAGACAAATAACTTGTGTTCAAGTGCATGGATCTCTCTGATATTGTACTGCAAGGTACCATACCACAAAGGGAAGGCTGGGATTGATTTTGGGGGTAATTGCCTCAAAATTTTAGGAACGAGGGGCCAAAAAGTGGGCAAAAACAAGCATTTTTCTAGTTTCATGACAATAACTTGTGTGTAAGTGTATGGATCGTTATGAAATTGTACTACAAGGTTCCTTATCACAAAAGGAAAGCTGGGTTTGAGTTTGGGGGTAATTGCCCAAAACGATTGGAATAAGGGGCCAAAAATAAACATTTTTCTAGTTTCCAGACAATTACTTGTGTTCAAGTGTATGGATCTCTCTGAAATTGTACTGCAAGGTACCATACCACAAAGAGAAGGCTGGGATTGATTTTGGGGGTAATTGCCTCAAAATTTTAGGAATTAGGGGCCAAAAAGGGGCAAAAAACAAGCATTTTTCTAGTTTCAGGACAATTACTTGTGTGTAATTGTATGGATCTTTATGAAATTGTACTACAAGGTTCCATATCACAAAGGGAAAGCTGGAATGGAGTTTGGGGGTAATTGCCCTAAACGTTAAGGAATTTGGGGCAAAAAAACAAGCATTTTTCTAGTTTCCAGACAATAACTTGTGTTCAAGTGTATGGATCTCTCTGAAATTGTACTGCAAGGTACAATACCACAAAAGGAAGGCTGGGATTGAGTTTGGGGGTGATGAATCATAAGGGGGTTCAAAAAATTTGGGGGGGGGGATTTTGTTTTTCCTTTTTTTCCTTTTTTTTTCTTTAAAATTTTCCATTTTAAGTTGGTTGTTTCTGATTTATATATAAAAGCAAATAATAATGATATGGTTTGATTTCATCAAAAATTGAATTATTGGGGTTCTTTGATATGCTGAATCTTACCGTGTATTTAGATTCTTAATTTTTTGTCCCGTTTTCAAATTGGTCTACATTAAGGTCCAAAGGGTCCAAAATTAAACTTATTTTGATTTGAACAAAAATTGAATTCTTGGGGTTCTTTGATATGCTGAATCTAAACATGTATTTAGATTTTTGATTATGGGCCCAGTTTTCAAGTTGGTCCAAATCGGGGTCCAAAATTACACTTTGTTTGATTTCAACAAAAATTGAATATATTGGGTTCTTTGGTTTGCTGAATCTAACCGTGTATTTAGATTTTTGGATTTTGGGTCTCGTTTTTAAATTTATCCACATTGAGGTCCGAAGGGTCCAAAATTAAACTTTGTTTGATTTCATTAAAAATTGAGTTCTTTGATATGCTTAGAGTTTTTGTCCCAACAGGAATGTGGGGCCAAAAAAGGGTCCAAATAAGCATTTTTCTAGTTTTCAGACAATAACTTGTGGAATGGTGTATGGATCTCTCTGAAATTATAACACAAGTTTCCAAACCACAAAGGGATGGTAAGAATTGGCTTTGGGGGGGGTTATGGCTCAAACCGTTAAGGAATAAGGGGCAAAAAGGGGGAAAAACAAGGGTTTCTAGGTTAATGGACAATTACTTAAGTACAAAACATAATTTAAAAGCAGTGTAAGGTTGGTAATTTAAACTCATTTGAATATCTCACCTACACTGCTTTTAAATTATGTATATTGGAAATTTGCCAAAAACTTTATTGTTAATAAATTCCATTGGGAATTTGCCAATAATTTTAGTATAATAAACTCCATTGGAAAGTAAGAATTGGCTTTGGGGGGTTATGGCTCAAACCTTTAAGGAATAAGGGGCAAAAAAGTGGAAAAAACAAGGGTTTCCAGGTAAATGGACAATTACTTAAGTACAAAACATAATTTAAAGGCAGTGTAAGGTTGGTAATTCAAACTCATTTGAATATCTCACCTACACTGCTTTTAAATTATGTATATTGGAAAGTTGCCAATAACTTTATTTGTTACGTTTGGAGGACGTGTTTTTCAACAGACTGTCGGAATTCCTATGGGAACCAATTGTGCCCCTCTTCTTGCCGACTTGTTTCTTTATTATTATGAGGCTGACTTCATACAGGAACTTCTTAGGAAGAAAGATAAGAAGTTAGCAATATCCTTTAACTTTACGTTCCGCTATATAGATGATGTTCTCTCACTAAATAATACAAAATTTGGTGACTATATGTTGAACGAATCTATCCCATCTAACTAGAGATAAAGGATACTACAGATACAGTTAAGTCTGCCTCATATCTTGATTTACATCTAGAAATTGACAATGAGGGTCGGTTGAAAGCAAAACTACGACAAAAGAGATGATTTCAGCTTCCCAATTGTGAACTTTCCATTTCTATGTAGCAACATTCCAGCAGCGCCTGCATACGGAGTATATATCTCCCAATTGATACGATATTCCAGGGCTCGTATTTCCTATCATGATTTCCTTGATAGAGGATTGCTGCTCACAAGGAAGCTATTAAACCAAGAGTTCCAAATGGTGAAGTTGAAATCATCCCTTCGTAAATTTTACAGACGCCATCACGAGTTGGTTGACCGTTATGGAATAACCGTTTCACAGATGATATCGGATATGTTCCTTATGTCGTAACTACAAAACCCTTCTCTTTTCATGAACGTGACCTACCGAATTAGACTATTTACCGGATTTGTAAGCAACACGACAGGTGCCACATGTGGAGCAGGATCTGCTTACCCTTCCGGAGCACCTGAGATCACCCCCAGTTTTTGATGGGGTTCGTGTTGCTTAGTCTTTAGTTTTCTATGTTGTGTCATCTGTACTATTATTTATCTGTTTGTCTTTTTATTTTTGGCCATGGCGTTGTCAGTTTGTTTTCGATCTGTGAGTTTGACTGTCCCTCTGATATCTTTCGTTCCTCTTTTATTGTTAATAAATTCCATTGGAAATTTTCCAATAACTTTAGTATAATAAACTTCATTGGAAATTTGCCAATATAAAATGTTGCTGACAGGGGCGTATCTACCCGGAGGCTCGACAGCACGTGCATCCACGTCATTTTCACCCTTACCCCCCCCCCCCCCCCCCCCCAAAAAAAAAAAAAAAAAACAGACAGAGAAGGACAAAGTAAACAATATAGGTATTGGTCTTTCTATGTATGCATTTTAAAAACTACACAAAGAATAAAAGCAAGAGGAATACACATGCAGCGAAATTTTTAATCCTGTATAAGACATGTATGTGTACGATAAAAACATACAACTGGTGTAACTATTAGCGGAACTTTTTATATTAAAAACAAAAAACCTACATTGTTGCCGATACCACCACCATAACGTATACTCGCCTCAAGTGCAAAAAAACCCAGAATCCTATAGGGTTAACACAAAAACTTGAAAATTGTTATTTTCCGCTTCGCCCAAAGCACACATCTTACTAGAACGAAGACTCTTCAACTCGTATCGATCCGGGAATAATTACTGTTACCTTGTGAACTAGTTCAAAATTGACTAAGTATGTAGGTCTTGACAACACGAATAGTTCATTTTCACATCACGTCAACGTATTCTCGTTCTGGTATGCATGTAATATTTGCTACCGCACATTAATAACCATTCAATCAATCAATAGTTTCCGTATACTAGTACATGAGAAGTTGGAACTGCTGTTAATATAAAAAAAAAGTACACATTTCCAGTACATGTATTACGTTATTTATTTATTTTACACAAATACATCTTCTATATAGATTCGATAATTCGAAATCGTTTCTATATGGGCCGGCTATACGAATGGTTGATTGTAAAAGCATTTAAATAAATTGTTAATTCTAACTCGTTTTCCTGGACTATTTGGTCATTCAATTTTATTATGAATTTTCTGTCCGAGTCGGGCTCTGAACTGCTGATTCTTGTTCGAAAGATACACCAAACTTTTAATACACGTATCTTTACTGTTCGAATGCATATGTATTTGTAATTAGCTGGATAATTAACAAATGCAGATCATCAATAAGATCGGGATCAAAGTATCATTCCCTCTGGAAATGTTCATTAATATTAACTTCGAGAATACCTAACAGCATAAAATTAGAAATTCCTATCTCTCTCTTGTAGAGTATACCCACAAAATTTTTAAACAACTAAATACATATGTTAAGCAAAATATTGGGGAATGTGTTCACCAAGTATTTGGTATCCAATGGTGTTTATGCTAACAGAAACTCAACATATAGTATTGTGTTTATGTTTATTGTTTGTTTTTTTTATACACCTACTTTGCTCAATACAAATACTAGCATATGGAACAAATCTCCGTGATTTTAAAAGCTCTCACGGCGTACAAAAAACGAAAACGACAATGTTTAGCCTTTATTCGACTCGAAGTTAAACAAATAGTTGACCAAAAAACAACAACAAAAATGTCCGAGTTTTATTACGGTTGTGACTTTTTTTAAAACGCTATATATGGAGACCCATCGCCCTTTAGTTTGTGATTCCACTTCATCAAAAAGGTAGCTACGCCCCTGGCTGATGAAGATTTTTTGTTTAATTTTAGCCATGACTATGATGTCATTTTCTATTTTAATAGCCTTATGATGTATTTAATTTTTATACGACCGCAAAAAATTTTTTGTGGTCGTATATTAGTATGACGTTGGCGTCGTCGTCGTCCGGCGTCGTCGTCGTCGTCTTTGTCGTCGTCGTCGTCGTCGTCGTTGTCGTCGTCGTCGTCGTCGTCGTCCGGCGTCGTCC